CTCTCTCTCTCTCTCTCTCTCTCTCGCTCTTCTCCCTTCTTCTCCTCGGCGCTCTCTGTTCTTTGCAACGGCTCGAAGGCAGAAAAGGCAAAGGCGGGCAAGGTAAGGAGGGGAGGGGCGAGGCTCGTTTTGTATTTATGCAGGGAAAGGACGAAACGGTCAGGCGACGAAATCAGGGAAGTTTCCCTCAAGTCCAGGCACAGTTAATCCAGATTCGATTTCACCGCCCACGTACCCACCTTTTCCTCATTAATCGCACGCACAGTTATGTCATGTCCACTGACACCGCGTCGCATCCAACCGCAGCAACAACAAGCCCCGAGAAACCACCTCAAAAGGCACGCCTACCATTGTCAGCCGATGGGAGGGGAATATTCCCCTAGCCGATTCCTTCCAGACTAAGGAACTGGGCGCCGAGCCCGATACGGTCCAGGGGTTCGAAGGCTAGGCCCCCAAAGGTCTCAACAGCTGCCCCAGGACGAATAGAGTCAGGGACAACTATGGGTGAGCCCGTACATGGCCGAGGCCCGAGCAAGCAATCGCTCGGGATGCCCTAAGTCGTGTCCGAGACCGGCAGGGAAGTCTCCGAATGGGATCCCACTGTAGGGAGGCGCCGAGCCCCTGGGGCCAATCGAATGGCCCTAAGACCCACTAGAGAAGCCCTCCGATACTTTTGGAGTGTGTCTCTTGACCGCAAGCCGACCCCTATCGAATGGGGCACGGGCCTCCACTCAGATTTACTCCGAGCAACAACTCACGGAAGTGTCACGGCTCGTGCCCACCGAGGGTAGCCCGACATATTCCACCCTCCTTCCAAACGAAAAGGACGGACGCGAGGGTCGCATAAAAAGCAGGGAACTCCCGACGCCTCTCGCTCCAGGCAGAGGCTCGGGGCTTTTCCTACAAACTTGCCGAGACCCAAATGACCTGTGCTCGCACTCGATTAGCACGGCAAACAACCCTCCTTCCGAACGAAAAAGATGCGCGAGGGTCGATAAAAATCCAGGGAACTCCCGATCGCCCTCTCGCCTCGCAAGGGGGCTCGGGGCTCTTCCCGCAAACTTGCCGAGGCCCAATGACCCAGCTCACACTCGATGGGCTCGGCAAACAACCCCTCCTTCCGAACGAAAAGGATGCGCGAGGGTCGCATAAAAAGCCAGGGGAACTCCTGATCGCCCTCTGACTCCGTGTGAAGGCTCGGGGGCTCTTCCTACAAACTTGCTGAGACCCAGCGACCCAGGCTCACACTCGATGGCCTCGGCAAATAACCCCTCCTTTCAAACGAAAAGGATGCGCGAGGGTCGCCTAAAAAGCCAGGGGAACTCCTGATCGCCCTCTCACTAAGTGCGGAGTCTCGGGGGCTCTTCCTGCAAACTTGCTGAGGCCCATCGACCCAGGCTCGCACTCGATGGGCTCGGCAAACAACCCCTCCTTTCGAACGAAAAGGATGCGCGAGGGTCGTATAAAAAGCCAGGGGAACTCCTGATCGCCCTCTCGCTCCGTGCGGAGGTTCAGGGGCTCTTCCTGCACCCAAAACGAAAGCAAGCCACCCAAGCTCGCACTCGGAGGAGGTTGAACATGACAAAAAGGGCACCGAGAGCCAAGCATGGTCCAGGGGTTCAAGGTCGGGCCCCCAAAGGTTTCGATAGCCGCCCCAGGACAACAGAGTCAGGGATGATTGTGGGCAAGCCCGAACATGGCCAAAAGTCCAAGCAAGCAAATGCTTGAAAAGCCCTAAGTCATGTCCGAGACCAGCAGGGAGGTCTCCGAATGGGATCCCACCGTAGGGAGGCGCTGAGCCCCCGAGGCCGATCGAACGGCCCTAGGACCCACTAGAGAAGCCCTCTGGTACTTTTGGGGTGTGTCTCTGGACCGCTAGCCGACCCCTATCGAATAGGGGTACGGGCCTCCACTTGGACTACCCGATAGCAGCTCACCGGAGATGTCACTACTCGTGCCCACCAAGGGTAGCCTGACATGTTCCACCCCTCCTTCTGAACAAAAAGGATGCGCGAGGGCCGCCAAAAAAGACAGGGAAACCACTGATCGCCCTCTCGCTCCGTGTAGAGGCTCGGGGGCTCTTCCTGCAACTAGGCCAAGTCCCAGCGACTCGAAGTCGCACTCATGGGCCAGGCAAACATGATAAAATTCCTCGCTCAACAGGGACAAAGCCTCTGGAGGGGTAAATCCACTCCTCCAAGGCCTCGGGGGCTACACCCGGCGGGTGCGCTCGCGCGCACCCACCAGAACCACGAGTACAAAACACTATCCCAACGGGAGCCGCTACACGCCAAAATCTTGACAAAGCCTCAGGGAGAGTGCTCGCACTCACCCCAAGGCTCGGGGGCTATTGTCGGATACCATAAAAAGGGGTGCCCTAAGCAAGAACCAAAAAGATCGCTTAAACCTCGCAAATATCAAAGCCAAAGGACAATCACAGGGTCTCGGCCGATTCTCCGACTCGCCCGAAGCCCGCGTCGCAATGACTCTCTGCCTCGCCGAGGCCCTCTCGCCGAGGCCCTCTCGTACCGAGGCCCCGCCCCGCAAGGCCTCGAACGGGTTACCAATTCTCCAATTCGCTCGAGGCCCCACGAGTGAAGCCTCGGACAAAGTACCGATTCTCCGACTCGCTCGAGGCTGGCTCAGCAACAACCTCATCGCCTCCGCCTCGACCGACTTCTCTGACAAAACGTCACGCGTCCAACCACTCCCACGACGCCACCAGAGACGTGGGCACAAGAGACAATAGGTGGGTGACGCGACGTGAGAAAGGATGTATCAGGGTTACCGACCATCGTGCTCAAAGACTGCACTCCATGCTCGCACCCCATCGTGACTGGTCATGCTACCTAATTCACTGCTCGCCTCGAGCAAAGACGGCGTGGGGAAGCGTGCACGGGTCATCAGAGCCCCTCGGAATCGGTGCATGAGACCAATCGCTCCCTCCAAAGCCTCGGCAATCCACTTCAGTGGTCTCGGCGGCCTCGGGATTCAAGGCCCACCGAAGCTCCCCACGATGGCTCGGCCTGCACCAACCAAGCCGAGCCTCGGCTCTTTTCACCATCAACCCATAGCGACCAAAGACATCGTCGGCCATGCCCTGCGTCAAGTTGCCACTGGAGCGCCCACGCCATACGAGATCGGTGTGACCGGTAGCGTTGCTCCAAAGACATCAAGGACAAGACCACTCCATTGACCATGCCGCCACAAAGAGGTAAGCTACGGGACTCAGCACGCCACCTCCGCTCGCCGCATGGCGAACACATGTATCACCCCTGTCCCTCCTTCAACTATAAAAGGGGAGACCGGGGCCGTTCTTAGGACGAGAGGCACTCACGAGCTCACCGAGATAGGCTCACGTAGACACACACTCTCCCCAGCTGCCTAAGAGCAACGTCTCAAGCAGCCCACATCGCTCCACGCCGAGACCTGGGACCAGTTCCCTCTCTCACCCAGCTTGTAACCCCCTACTACAAGCACGTCGGTGCAAGGAATACAAGATCGATCTCTCATACTAGACGTAGGGCATCGATTGCCTGAAACAGTATAAACCTTGTGTCTCCTTGCATTACCTTACGAGATTAGGGGCACGCAGTTCATATTTACTAGTTGGTTGAGGACCCCCCGGTCCGAAACACCGACAAGAATCTCTAATGGACCATCAACACCTGCTATCCCCTCATCTGCAGCTTTGAAGCCCATGGCTTCATAGATTTGTTCCTCATCCACTAAAACAATAGCATCCCCATCTAAATTTTCCTCAGATAATATTGTGAAAGCTGACCAATCAATAACATCATCTAATTTTGTATGCTCTGGACTGCTACAAGCATCATCTGTGCATTTAACATTTCCTTGCTATGCTGTTACACCAGATGTGGCATGAACACTATGCTCATTTGGCACATTTCCTGTTGTTGCATCTCGGTTCTCTCTAGATGATACTTTATCCTTGTCAAGTACTTCACAACTGACATCCATTTTCTTCTCATCTCATCTAGCTTCTATCATCTCCCTAGACTGCTCATCAGTAGTAACCTTTCATTCTGTCCTACTATCCTTGTCCAGACCCCAAACAATTAGCTGCTACCCACTACCCCAAATGATCCTTCTAGTCATTTCATCCACAAATTTAGACAGAGAGCAGTGACAGGTAAGATCAATCCAAACATCATGCTCTTGGTCATCCATTTCAGCAGATCCATAATCAACATTGCCTGTGTACTTAGCAACGCTAACGTGGATTCTAAACGCATTGCCAAGATCAATCCTGACAATAATCATAAACAAATAAACAAATATGTGGAGTTAGGAGACATCCAACTCCAAAACACTACGGGATCCCAAAAACTAGACCAAACACAACAGCACATCGAACTTACCAAGGAGGGCAGTCAGTTCACTTCATCTTAACGCATACGATAAACAACAAGGGCTACCGCAACGTCACTACAATCAAATAGACCACCAATCAAATCGAAACCCTAAATTAGGGAACACAACTGGGGAAATAGGGTTTAGGGGAGTGCGGGCAGTACCTAGTATGGTCGTCGTGCGTCCAAGGAAGGGGAAGAAGAGTCGATGCCGTTGCCGCCGCGTCTACCACACCCGCCGTCGCCGACGCCAGGAGTGGGGAAGAAGGGGAGTGGACTGGGTTTGACTCAGGGCTAGGCCGGCTGGAGACAAAAGAAGAAGGTGAGGGCAGCATGATCATTTCGCGTGCTAAGTTAAGACTCTCAGGCTCCTTGCCACGTTGATATATTCATTTAGTGTGCCACCTTAGTAAAAATGATAAAAATATAGAAGGATTATTGTTTAGCATGGTAAATATGTAGGCTAAAGCTGGCAAACGTACCTCACCGAGTGGCCGGGCAAAACACCCCAGTCGGAAAGTCGCCGACGACTTGACGTGGGGGACACAAAATAACGCGGGCAGCGCCACGCCAAGCGCGTTCCTGTCGCGGGGCGGACACAGAGAGAGGAAACCGGAAGGGGAAGAGATGAGCTCCTCCTCCTCGGCGTCGGCCGTGCCGCCGGAGGACGACGTCTGCTCCGTCTGCCACGACCGCTTCCGGATCCCGTGCCAGGCGAACTGCTCCCATTGGTTCTGTGGCAAGTCCCTTCTCCTACTCTTCTTCCTCTCCCTACCTGGTCCCGCCGTGCCCCTCTTCTCTTTACGGAGATTTGGCTGTTCTTTCCCTAATCTCGATCCGACTGCGTGGAGGGAGATCGAGCCAGTCGGCAGATGCGGTTGGCTACGCAGAACTGTCAGCTACTCGTTTCAGAATAGATTTGGGGCTGGTTGCCTTTCTTTTCTGTTCTTTTTTCCTGTAGAAGGGTGGATTCGTTCGAGTTGTCAAGAATTCCTGGGTTTGCTAAATTGCTGCGGTTTGCGAGTCGGGTGCTGGAATTGGCCTTGATCCCTCTTTACCATAGGAGTCTGACTACGAATTAACTGCATGACAGCATGAGTCGATGCAAAATGAGGATTTAGGATACTGAAAACAATGGAAGTTATAGAGGCATATATATAGCCTATATAGGTGAGTAGACAGGGTAATGCTAGTTGGTAGATAGTGTCGAGCTGTCGACAACACGAATTGATGCTAAAGAGACATCGGATCTTGGAAGGGTGGTGTCATGGAATGGAACGGAAACCGATGAACACAATACTTGTGGTAGCCGAGCCAAACAACTCTTCTGTAACTTCTGCCCGACAGAACAGGATGAATTGTTTTAGCTTTTAGGGCAATAAGAAGCAGAAGTTAAGAAGAACGGCTGCCCCCTACAGATCAGTATCACCATCACTATTTCTATTAAAAATAACAAGCCAATACAAAGATGGGGTTATCTTTTCTTGATTTGAAATTTTGTGTAACTTCTGTGATACGTAGATGTGTGGTCTTGTGTGCTAGAAATGACCAGACATACATATAAAGAAATGATTCTTTTTCTCTTTTTCCAAATTTGGTGAACTACTAATATTATCTTATAAATTGCGCAACGCTTACACAACTTTACTGCCTTGGAGTTTTCTCTATTACTGAATGTGGTGATACGATCATCTTTTACAGGAGAGTGCATCATCCGTGTTTGGCATCATGGACCTGCTGTACAGGCTTGCAAGTGTCCCATTTGTCGCCGCCTTATAAATTTACTGGTGCCTGCTGCTTTATCAGAGCAGGAGGATGATCCACAAGCTCATCGTATTTTAGGAGAGATTCAGCACTACAACTGTATATTTGGTGGAGCACCACGCAGCCTGACTCAGGTTGGTACACTGTCCATGAAATCTGGTGTCTTCACTATACTTTCGAGAATAAACTCGACACTTGAGATTGGTAAAAGTTGCTGCCTTTGATATTGCCATGCTGCTATTATTGTTAGAGTGCATGAAAAAACATTGGCCAAACTCCTTGATAAACAAGGTCCGAGACAAGGTTTCGTATTGTTTCAAAACAGAATTCATGTTCTGTTGCTCCATTGGCATGTCTCTCCCAGTTCCTATAGGATTTGTATATGATTGGGAAATCATCTTCCAAAGAAATTGGACTATTGTACACGTGCCTTAGACATGGTGATTTTAATGGACCGTACTTTTAGCATATGATTACTTTGATCACTCGCTTTCTTTCAGACCGAACCTACTATCATCTTTGTTATCAGGAGTAATTCCTCTTTGGACTTGACATAATTAAAATGTTCTCCTGCATTCCTTGTAGAGAATGTAAGAAATTCCCTTGTTAATTGTGGGGTTCATTAGATATATGTGGCCTTCATGTTATAACAGATATGGCTATTGGAGCTGTCATAGTTGTATAAGGAATACAAGTATACAATTAAGATACAGCTGTCAGAATTGTACAATGAATATGGCTACTTTTTCAACTAGAAATGTATGTCCCTAGCATCTAGCCATATAGTCTTGTGGGAGGTTTTCATCTAACTACTTTATTTTTGATATCCCCGTTATCCAGAGGTTGCAAGACCTGCCCTTCTTCATCCGAAGACTGTTCAGAGAACTAATGGATCCCCAGCGGACTCTCCCACTTGTGTTCAGGGCGCGGATGATGATGATGGTAAGTCCCACAGGATCAAACTATTCTTTTGCTTCATATTCCTCTTCAATATTATGCTGGGAAGTTACTAAGATTGGGAAAGCAAACAGGTTGCGCTGTTTCTGACCTCACCTCAGTTTCATACCATCGCCCAGTGCAATGGATGTGAGAGATGAGACCATATATGAATCTGATAAGATGATGACTTATTCGAACTTGTAGGTCGCACTGAGTGCAATTTATGTGCTAAGCCCTGTCGACATTCTTCCCGAAAGTAAGTTCACCATATTCCCAGAACAAGTGGTAGCATCTTAATAAACCTGTCGCTGCTGTTGCCTGAACTGTATCATATATTCATCTCACATCGTGGCCTTGTTTCTGCAACCTGCAGGTGTGCTGGGGCTGTTTGGATTCGTCGATGACCTGCTCATCCTGCTGATCGTGTTCCTCCACCTCGCTGCCGTTTACCGGTCGTTGCTCCTGTACCGCCACGGGGGGCAGTAGAAGTTGCTGTGCATAAATCGTTTGCTTAGCTGGTTTTCATGTGGAGTTCTCTGAGATTGCAGCGGATTTGGAAGATTGCTAAGTAGATGACGTTGTGAAGGACGGACGGACGGCTTAGCCTTGTCCCTGCTCTGTACTATTCTACTATGCCTGTTTCCTCACGGTGAACTTTGGTTGGTTGATGCAAGTGATCTTCCCTTCGTTTTCGTCGCAAAAAAGGGAAAGAATTTGCCTTCGTTTGTTGGGCTTATTGTACAGACTACACACTTTTTTTCTTTTTCACTAGGTAAATGTCCGTGCGTTGCAAGAGAAACATATAATACTATGATAATATATGTATGAGCGTGTGTTATATTGTTATCTAAAATAAATATCGTAATCATAATGTTTCAATCAATATTACACAAGTCTTCATGAAAGATAGATAGTTAAAATATAACTATCATAAATCCTTTGATCTGTGCTTTCTCTTATTGTTGATTTTTTTGGTGATACGTGCTTTCTGGATTTGCTTTATTGTTGTTTTTTTTCGTGATCTGTGCTTTATGGATTTGCTGAAAATATATGAATACCGTGGCTGCATATTGGAGTGGGGTGCACGTGCATGCATCCATGCATATGGAAAGACCCAAAGGAACCTGTGAGGGAGGAGCGCAGGATAGAGCCGGGCAGAGCAGCCATGCAGGGGTTGGGGGAATTTCCTTTTCTACATCGGGTAGTCATGGATCGCATGAAGATTTTGGTCCTGTCGAGTAGACGTTGACAATCCGTATGTTTTAGTTGTAGATATTTTTGCTTGCTTTCCCTTGGAAGTTGGAATTGGAACCGATGTTTGCATTTCAGTAACTGGATTGAACGCTACTCTCAGTTCTCATCATTTATAGGCCCAGTTTCTAAAGCTTAGTGGGCCGTAAGCCCATTGGCTGTCATGGTGGGCCTGGGGTCTGGGCCGCGACGAGTAAAAGAACAGGTAGGGGATCGCGCTGGCCGAGTGGGTGGTTGGTTGGCTCTTGCGGGAGGGATGGGATGGCGACGGCGGGCGTGTGCGGCTGGGGGCGGCTCGGAAGGGGCACGGTGGAGACGCGGCCCCGCGGTGGAGCCCTCGCCTCTTCTTCTCCTACCCGCCGAGGGAGACGCTGGTGACCTGACGAACTGAGCCCACGGACGAGAGGGGAGAAGACGGGTACAGCCGGAGCCCGGAGGAGCGCGCGCCCGCGCACGCGGCTAAGCGGATCCACCTAGTACAGTCGTACTCTCTTGTTTTTTCCCGTATCCTTCGCTCAGATTTGTTCGCTGCGCTGCTCCCAAATTTCTTCTTGGCTGATTGCTGCTACACCCAGTGATCGCATGGTCGTCTTCGCGTTTGCTTATCGCCTTCTTCTTTTTGTCCTCTAGGGAACACCTAGGAATCGCCTTGTTGCTGCATCGGGGCTTTTTTTTTTTTGTGTGGCAGTGTTCCTCTCTGCTCCCGCTACCGTTACTGATATCCTGTTAGGATTCAGGACTGATGTACGATTTCGATGTAATTGATGGCAGCCGAAACAATTCTAGGTTTTGTTCGGTTCACTACTTGCTGTCCTCTCTGCTTGAAATCACAATTAGCTTCCCTTTGTGTTCACCTCACCCGCATCGATGTTCATTTCTTATTCTTACGAACATAACATTGATTGAAACCAGCTTTCTGCTTCTGTGCAGGATGTTGGCCAGATCACCAGCACTGCCTTTGGTGACTGCTGAAACTCCTGCATTTGGCTTCTTTATTACAGCTGTAAGATCCTCAATCTAGCTTGCTCCTTTATAATATTGTTGGCGAAATCACCAGCAATGACCCTTAAGGCGCTTGCATCCCAATATTCCTCCCTCTGCAGCGCAATGTCTCGAGTGCGCCGGCTGTGAAGCTTTCAGATAACAATTGCGGAGCAAGATTGAATGTCCGGCAGCAAAACATCGAGCTTGGGAAAAGCCGTCAGGAATGGCGGACGCTATCAGCCGACCAAGCACAAGCTTCTGTCGTGGATGTCAATGAGGAGTGCAAACAAGTCCTCACTTCATTGGATTTCTCCAGCGAAGACGCCGAGAAGATGCTGAAGAAGGCGTTTGGATGGATCCACTCGCCGTATTGGAGCGAAGAGAGAAAGGAGGAGGTTCCAAATGCCGAGGTGGTGACTGGAGTGTTGAACTACATCAGGAGCCTTGGGCTATCGGACGAAGACCTTCACAAGTTGCTGAAGAAGTTTCCGGAGGTTCTTGGGTGTGACCTTGACAGCGAGGTGAAGCTGAATGTGAGCAAGCTGGACAATGACTGGGGAATAAATGGGAAGACCCTGCGGAGCCTTCTCCTGAGGAATCCAAAGGTTTTGGGCTACAATATTGACTGCAGAGGGGATTGCATGGCCCAGTGCACCCGCTGTTGGGTTCGGTTCTAATGATGTTTTGTTCTTCGTCACCACATCATTGTTGAGAAACTAAAGACTTCGTTTTGCAGGCTGAGTGAAAATTCAGATGAATTTTGCTGGCCATTTTTCTGTAAACTAGCTCCTGTCAAATATAGCACAATCGTAGTTTGGTGGATACTGGATAGGCAACTGTTAGTTCTTGTGTACAACAAATTCAAGAGCCAAACCATGCTGTCTGTAAAAGAGTTGCAATAAATAGGGCCAATTCCTGAATGATCTGTGATACTTCAAT